GAATTATTTCTACAGATATGAATGTGAAAATAGTGTGAGCAAGTGAGTGAATAAAAGAAGATAAGTGTGAATAAACTTACAGTTTAGAGATGGATGAAGTGAGAAAGTATGAGAAATACTGGTCTTTATAATTAAAAATGAGAAGGCCACGACTTTAAGCTGTAGAACTGAAAGTGAACAACTAATAAGTTATAGCAGTGTCTGGGCTAAGAAAGTCCAGCAGGAGATGGCAGACCCAAAACCAAGAAGTCTAGAATGGCAATCAAAAAGGGTTTTTTCACAGATTGAGTATAGGAGATTAGCAATTGAGCTTGGTCCAGCAAACAAAGACCAGCAAAGGTCCTGCAACTACATTATAGTGGAGAACACTACCAAAAAAGCACTCTGAATGACTTTGGGGGAAAGTGTATGGCCATCAAGAGTTGGGCAGGCAAGACTTACCAAAAAAGACATATGTTGGTGACCCACAGAAGGGTTCCAGGGCAGAAAGAAGCTGCAGGTTGCTGAACAAGGTAGTTGGGAAGATTTCTTGGAGACGATGGTAAGAGAAAGTAGGCTCCAACTAGAAGAAATCCCAGCTCCAGTAAGAGACTTGTGGGACTAGCTAGTCTAAAAAGCCATTTACCCAGATTACAGGAAATGTTTGTGGTTTATAGAAGAATCCCATTGTAAATGAGGGCAGAAGGAGAAGACATCATAGCCCTTGATCCCTTGGAAAGCAGTTTTGGAAGTGACTTATGCTACCATAACTTGTGATCCATTTGCCCATTCCTATTCTTATCCTATGCTGAATCTGTATCATATATCCCATGTGTAAGTTAAGGGGTATAGTCATGAGATTTTATTAGCATAATGCCATTGTGTTTTTCAGGATTTTTAAAAAATACTTTTCAATATGGCATATAGTTCAGGACTTCCAATGTAATCTCACATTTAAATACTGTATAGGCATATCTTGCTTATCATTTTAAATTAGCCACCGTTCATTTATTCAATCAATTAGCCTAAGTCATGTGGGTTTAATGTGGATAATAAGTTAAAATGTGGTTCATGAGTTTCTGTGCAATGTGCATTGTCATTATTAGACACAACAGATGCAGGAACATGAACTGAAATTATTGGTTATTCATTTGAAGCTTTGATCATAGATATTTGGAACTGAAAACAGAACTAGTAAGGAATATATATCTATATATGGTTTTTGTTATGGTACTTTTTCAACTGTGAGTTCAAAATGGATCTGAAATTGTAGGAGAAGGAGTGGCAGAACCTGCAGGTGGAGTTAAAAGATGGATCAGCCTAGAATTTCTTTGTAGCTAAAAGCAGACTAAGTCCAACCCTCCCTTGAATTCCATAGACCTTTATCTAACCGCAAGCAGGTGCTAAATCTTCTCAATCTTAGTTGAGAAAATTCCTGTGCATAGGCTTTTAGCAGTAAATCAGTTTAATTAAAGTATCCACAACTTCTGCTTTAACATATGTATCTATAGAAGGACAGTTAGTTTCCTAGATCAGTAGTTCTCAATCTTCTGGTCCACAGACCTCTGGGTGGGATGTGATGTCATCACAGTGGTTCATGAAGGCTTGAAGAAGTATTATGATTTAAATCTTAAATTAAGTCTTGAGAGTCCATGGCAACAATCTGTGGCCACAAAGGGTATTTAAAGGAGTTCTGTGGTGAAGAAAAGGTTGAGAACTACTGCCCTATATCATTAGTTCCACTACTAAATTGCTGTTAATGTTTTTTTTTCTAACTTTCAGTTGGATTCAACTTAGCTTACATTAAATTAACTCCTCAATTTAAACCCAAAGGAAAATATTCAATCGTTTTGTGACATCCTATCAGGAGTTTGAAAAGAGGTACCATTTCCCTAAACATATAGTCCAATCTTATCCTCTTAAAGTTAAACATGTCTTGTTCCTTATGTGTTTTCATAGGGCTTATTTTTTGAATCTCTTATTGTCCTCGTTTACTGTCTCCCTGAATTCTTCTTAAAGTGGGTATTCCACAATAATTCACTATAGTTAAAGAAAGTACTTAAGGTCTCAAAAGCAGTATAATTATAAATTATTACTTCCTCCAATTTAAAAACTATAATTCTGTTGATGCAGCCTAAGCTTGTGTTTACTTTTGGGACAGCCACACTACATGCTGACAAGAGCCATGGTGGCGCAGTGGTTAGAGTGCAGTACTGCAGGTTACTTCTTCTGATTGCTGACTGCCTGCAATATGGCAGTTCAAATCTCACCAGGCTCAAGGTGGATTCAGCCTTCCATCCTTCCAAGGTGGGTAAAATGAGGACCCAGATTGATGGAGGCAATATGCTGACTCTGTAAACCACTTAGAGAAGGCCATAAAGCACTGTGAAGTGGTATATAAGTCTACATTCTATTGCTATTTGCAGTCAGCATGAGGATTTTGAGGATCTTTTTCAAAAGAACTGCTACATTAGTAAATCAGTTATTCCCCATCCTAAAGCTGTGAATTTGGTTTTCATTTCCTAAATGAAGTACAGGTAGCCCTTGATTTACAACCAAAATTAAATCCAAAATTTCCATTGTTAAGTGAGACATTTGTTAAGTGAGTTTTGCCTCATTTTATGACATTTCTTGCCACAGTTGTTAAGTCTATCATTGCCGTTGACAAGTTAGTAACCTGGTTGTTATATGAATCTGGCTTCCCCATTGACTTTGCTTATCAGAAGGTTGCAAAAGGGATCACGTGACCCTGGGATGCTGTAACAGTCATAAATATGAACTAGTTGCCAAGTATCTGAATTTTGATCACGTGATTATGGGGATGCTGCAAAGGTTGTAACTGTGAAAAATGGTTGTAAGTCACTTTTTTTCAGTGCAGTTGTAAGTTTGAATGGTCACTAAATGAACTGCTGCAAGTTGAGGATGTGCCTCTTTCCAGTGGTGGGTTTCAAAAATTTTTACTACTGGTTCTGTGGGTGTGGCTTGGTGGGCGTGGCTTGGTGGGCATGGCAGGAGAAGGATACTGTAAAATCTCCATTCTCATCCCACTCTGAGGGAAGGTTACTGCAAAATCCCCATTTCCTCCAGATCAGCTGGGACTTGGGAAACAGAGAATAGATGAGGGCGGGGCCAGTCAGAATTTTTACTACCAGTTCTCCGAACTACTCAAAATTTCTCCAGAACTGGTCAGAACCTGCTGAAACCCACCTCTGCCTCTTTATTTTCTGAAGATCATTCTGAATTATCATTTTTTTCCTAAATATTACCCTCCTCTCCCCATTTTTGTTGTCTTAAAATCTGGTAAACATTCCCTATATCCATTTGTTCTGAATAGCATTTTAGGTATAATTTAATTTAGATTCCTATAGCCAATTGTCTAATTGGTCTTTTTCAAATCTATGATTGTATGATTCAAGTCAGTAACACAAATATTCAGAATTCCAATGCTGAAATACCCCCATTCAATCTCTCTCTCTCCAGTTTGTGTTTTATCCTGTTAAAAATGTATTTAATAAAAATTATATTTTAAAGAATTAGCCCTCTAGATTTGTTCCTGAATAATCCATGCTGGCCTATAGTAATGCTTGCCACATTTTCAATATACTTACAGATCAGTGTTTTAATTGAATGTTCTTAATTTATATATTTCTGTGAACACTGTCACATAGAAGTAAACAATGTATAATATATAGTGGCTGATCATCTACAAATACTACTTCAGATACTTTTGCATGTTTTATTTATTTATTTATTGGTTCGATTTATATGCCGCCCTTTTCCAGAGACTCAGGGCGGCTTACAATGCGTTAAGCAATAGCCTTCATACTTTTGTATATACCTGCTTAGTAGGGCTTTCGGGGGGCCCCCTAAGCGGTGTTCTTTTTTATACAAAGTCAGTTTATTGCCCCCACAAACCAGGTCCTCATTTTACCTACATCGAAAGGATGGAAGGCTGAATCAACCTTGAGCCTGGTGAGATTTGAACTTGCAGTAATTGCAGGCAGCTGGTGTTACTTAACAGTGCTTTAGTCTGCTGCGCCACCAAGGCTCTTGTTTTCTTGACTGGACAGCTATCTATCTGAAATGAAAAGGCAGGGGTTGGACTAGAAGACCTGCAAGGTCACTTCCAACTCTGATATTCTATATTCCAAGTCAGCAGTTAGACCTTGTTCTAAGAATTCTAGAGAAGATTTGGACAGAAAATATTCAGCTGTTGGATTTCTTCTTTATAACAATAATCTTAGATTACCTAGATAAATTGGCTTCAGATACTAACAAGTTACAGTGATTTATACCAAATTGTTGTAAGAAGGATATATTCAAAAGATTACTGGCATTCATGAGACCAGAAACTACAATCTTTCTACAGGCAATTGCAACCTTTTCTTTTGAGAGACAAACTGGCACCTATTTATAATTTTTCACAAAATGCATCAGTTGTAGTGCTCCATACAATTGTTGGAATTGAGTGGAAATAGAGTTGCATAAGTTACTTTCTTGCAGAACTGCATGAAAATGCATTGCACAGATTTTGAACAGTCCCCAAATATCTTTTGATTTGAGACTCCTGGCATGAAAAAGTGTGCTGTGCAAGGTAAAAATAATGCTTGAGGCTTTTCATTTTGAATCTTAGATTTCACACTCTGCAGTTTCCAATTTATCTGAGGCATTAATATATTTCTTGCCCTTGGAGTTTTAGCTCTCTATCTTATTCTTGATCAGAACTTTCTTGAACCATTCTGCAGTTATCTTATTTCTTTTTATTTCAGTCTACCATTTTCAGGAAATTTCCTGAACATACTATTTCCCAGGTTTCTCGTCTTCATAGTGCAAGAAAAGTATCAAGTATGAGAAATATCTGAGTCCCATCCACAATGAGTTCATAGTAGTGAGCATTTCTTATCTTTTCAAGAAAAATAAGATGCACTTTCTTAGTACATCCCTTTAAAAACTGTTTGTGGCTCTGCTAAAATAAATATAGTTATTTTACCTCGTATAGAAAAAAATACTTTTGGAATAAATAGGCTCAGTAAGCATTTAATGATTGCAACTAAGAAATAAACAAACAAATAAATTGTTCCATTTTTAAAAACACATCACAACTCTTTCCAATACAAGTATTTTAAGAAAATTAGTACTCCTCTCTTCAAAACCAGCACAAGAAGTAGTAAAAACATAGAACCAATCATATAATCACATCAGAATTCAATGTATGACTGTAATTGAATTATGAAACAATACCTATTTAATCATTCATTTGATTTGAATGCTGTCTGACTCCAACATACCCTTTATGGAATCATCTTAAGGCACTTTCTAGTCAGACAGAAGTTCCCTGAGGATGGGCTCCAGCACAATTCTGAAAGCTCGGAAGATTAAACCTCTGGTCCTGGCAACCAACTCAAATTAGATTCAACTTAAAACAAGCTTGAAGAAGGAATTGTTTGAGGCCCTTGTAATGATCAAATCTAAAAGAGCCACTGCTGAGCTAAAGACATGGCAGTCTTTAAAAAAGATTTCCACAGTAAATCTTACTTATGAGCAGGGTTTAATGTTTGACAAGTAGCTTAATTCAAGTTGTTCAGATATTTTTTTAAAAAGTCTTTATCATTTTGGTAATGATGACAGAGAGGGAGCGTTTAACGATATCCCAGACAAAAGCAAAGATAAGCAATGTTCACGTGGCAGGTAGATCCAGAAGATTAAAGCTAATCCTCCACATCAAATAAAGTTACCCAAATTATTTAATATGCAAAATATGGATGGAAACTTGTTACATGATTAAAATTGTAATTTGAGAAAATCGTCCTGCTTAAACAGAATGATTTTATCATTTATGTGATGACATTTCATACAGACAAGAAAATATTGTACAGTAATGAAATATTTTCACTGCAACATCAAGAAGCTGGTAGATTCTACCACCTGCTTTGTATCTGAATAACTTGACCTCAACCTGTAGAATTCTACAACATTAATAGAGGAGCATATTGCTGGAACTAGCAGCCATCGGGGTTGAAGTATAGTATAACAGCACCATCTAAGGGCCAAGACAACATTTATTCTGTAAAACTCTCATTAATAGAAGAATCAAATCCTACTGCCTCAATGATTAGGCAGTCTCCATCGCATTTCATTTTATTTCTTACTGCTAGCCATTTCTCTATTTATATGACTCTGTGTATGATGTGCAGGTTTACATGCAGACAAAAATCTATTCCTCCTAATTCAGGACAAAGAAAATTAAATTACTAGACCAGCGTAATGCTGTGGATATAGTATACTTAGACTTCAGCAAGACATTTTACAAATAGACCACAACCTACTTACTGTAAACTAGAAAAATGTAAAATAGACAGCATCACCACCAGATTTGTAACTGGCTGACAAACCATACTCAACATGTAGCCCTTAATGGTACTACATGGAAGGAAGGAAGCAGTGGGGTACCACAAGGTTCTGTCTTAGTCCCAGTACTCTTTAATATCTTCATAAATGACTTAGATGAGGGAATAGAAGGGAACTCATCAAATTGGCAGATGGTACTAAACTGGCAGAAGATTGTAGATGATACTAAGCTAACCCCAGAAGAAGAGCTCAGGATCCAAAAAGATCTTGACAGACTTGAACAATGGAGCCTACCCAACAACATGAAATTTAATGTGGAGAAAAGCAAGGTTTTACACCTAGGCAGGGAAAACTAAAGGTACAAGTACAGAATAAGCAAAACTTGGTTCAAAAAGAGTAACTGTGAGAGGGACCTTGGAGTCCTAGTGGACAATCACTTAAACAAGAGCCAGCAATAGGCAGCAGCAGCCAAAAAGGTTAATACACCCTTTAGTTGTACAAACAGAGGCATAGAATCAAAATCACATCAATATACCGCTTTATAAAGCCTTAGTAAGACTACACATGGAATACTGCATCCAGTTTTGGTCATCACATTACAAAACAGATATTGAGACTTTGGAAAAAGAGCAAAGAAGAGCAACTAAGATGATTAAGAGCCTGGAGACAAAAACATATCAAGAACAGTTGCAGGAATTGGGTATAGCCAGTCTAGAGAAAAGAAGAAGTAGGGATGACGTGACAGCAGTATTCCAGTATTTGAGGGGCTGCCACAAAGAAGAGGGGGTCAACTTATTTTCCAAAAGACCAGAGGGCAATACAAGAAACAATGGATGAAAACTAATCAAGGAGAAAAGCAACCTGGAATTAAGGAGAAACTTTCTAACGATGAAGACAATTAACCAGTGGAACTGCTTGCCTTCAGAAGTTGTAGGTGCTTCATCACTAGAATTTTTTAAGAAAAGACTGGACAGCCACCTATCTGAAATGTAGGCAAGAGGTTGGACTAGAAGACCTTCAAGGTCCCTTCCAGTTCTATTCTGATTATTGATTACAATGTTTCAACCAATTGAAGAAGGGAATTGTATTCCATAAAATTGATATCATAGATTTATAGACATCACAAACCTAGTAAAGTTGTGTTACATTTTGAGACATTGTTACCCAAGAGAAACTAAAGCAGGGTGGGATGGTTTTTTTGGGACTTCTGAATATACAATAAATATATTGAATTAATCAAATGCTTTTCTGATTAAAACCCAGACTCAAAGTATTGTTAATTTTACATTTTATTACCAAGTTTCCCCTTACATAAAATGAATCTCACACACCATTATTTCAGAACTGGGCTAGTCTAAAAAGGGGGAAAGATATTTCATTTAGCATTTTTTGGACTTAGGATTCCACTTTTTGTTTCTGAAGTTTTGTTGCTGTGGCTTAAGGGCTCTGTGCAGTTTTTCCAACTAATCTTAATATTCCGTAACCATCTTTCACCATCATCATATGAAGGAAATTCTAATATTACATGATATTAATAAACTTCAGAAAATAGCTGAAAATATGCATAATTTCTTTTGCAAAACCTGTTTAAAAGAAAAAAGTAAACAAAAAAAGTCTGAACAGGTGTCTCTCTATGCTGATTTACACTGTTCATTAAGTGTATTAATAGTGGATTTTTTTATATTTTAGACTGTTATTAATATTATAATTTCTGTTCTGTAATGTGATTTAGCTCAATTTAGACCAAGTATATTATCTCATTTGTTTGCATTTATAATAAGGTGAAAGAAACCATTATTTTCTTCCTAAAATGGCATCATAGAGCTTTCCAGATTTCTTAATTTCGATTTCCTTGAAACCACTTGCTGTGAGGAGCTTGCTATATTCTGCTGGTGACCGTTCTTTTCCTTCAGTGTGAACGAGCATATTTAGTGAATAGAGCTGGCTTTCCAATGGGCCACGTTTATCCTCATTCAGAAGAGTTTCAATTAGTAAAACACCACCACCTAATTGGAATATAAAAAAAAAAATCATGTCCAGTATTATCTTCCCTCATTACAGGTTTATAACTGTTTGGGACAAATTTTCTGCAACAGTTAATTCTACATGTAAAGATATTTAAGGATTGGGAAATACTATACATAAACAGTGTCAAAGAAATATTTTTGACACATTCAAATGTGTATAAAATATACAATGTGTAACTGTATAATACACAGTCAGGTCCTTATCATGTACATACCAGTTTTGCAAGACTTTTGCACTTTTGTGAGAAGTTGTACACAATTCTCATCTGACCAGTCATGGAGGATTCTTGCTAAAATATACAGTTCAGCTTCCGGAAGAGGATCTTTAAAAAAATCCCCTGTTAAAAAAATAGAAGGAAAAAAACTCATTAGTGAATATTGATTTGCAGAATGAAGGTCTCTTCTGCATGTTTCCAACCCATACGGTCTGGAGTTTTCTTTTGCCAATTGGGCCTGCAATACTTGCTGATGTCGTTAATCCATCTTGTTTTAGGTCTCTTTCGTGGATGCTTTTTATCAAGTGGGATCCATTCTACGACTCCTTTGGTACACACACACACACACACACACACACACGCTAGAATGTAACTAATTGGAACATCTGTCTTGCTTATCTGAAATAACAGTTTTCTCTGTGGAAGAAGTGTCAAGCTAAAGCAAAAGCTCTGTGATTCCCAAGGTTGAATTATCTCTATTTGGATTTAGAAGTGAATGCCCATTGTCTAAATTTTAATGTTCGGAAAGAATAATGGTAATTTTTAAACATTTATGTATTCAGATCATTCAGTGAATTCAAATACATTTACTGAATTAAAGTGAAATTGAGACTAAGAAAGTAAAAGGTTCACTTTTTAAAGTACTTTCTAGAGCATCAAGGAACCTTGAATCCGAATGTGTGATGGTATTGGTAATGACCTTGGGAGACAAGAGAAAGACCCGTTGCCTAGGCAACAGTTTTCCTCCTGTCTCCCAAAGTCATTCCCACACCATCATAAAATGTCACATTCAATCTATGTGACTGAGGGAAAAGCTCTTTCCTGGGTCCTGACTCCATTGAGGAAATACCTCATGTTGTTTCTCTGCAGAGAAAGGAGATGTTTCCAACTCCCTAGAAGTAAAGAGAATGGACTCAGTGTCCATTTCCTGAACCTAGAAAGGAAATAAGCTGCTCTCAGGTTTCCTTCATGGCCCTGTCTGTATTAGGGGCACAAGGGAATAAGAGGCAGTCATTTCCACCTATGACTCTGATCCCTGCCTCATGGCTGTCAGGACAATTCAGGAAGCAATGCATTCATAAATCTCCTGACCTGATTCTATAGAGAAGAAAGAAAGAATTTCATACAAAATGCCTTTCCTCTTTCTCCAAAATAACTACACCAACCTTCATAAAAATTTATTTGATGTTTCTCCAGTGATACAAAATGCTTCTTGGCTGTTTGAATTACTTTAGGAAGGTCAAAAATAGTGACTGTACAATCTGGATATAGTGAAACACATTCCTGGGCCAAAGCCCCAGCACCTCCTTTTGAAAGAAAAGAAAAGAAATTTTCAACCATACATAACAAACATTTGTCTCAAATGCTTATTTTTGACCTTGGATGCAACAATTCCTATCAGCAGAAGAGCAGTAAGTTATACATGATTAGAAGTATTATTTCAGTATGAAGATTTTATGTGTGAATTGTGTATGTGTTATATTTTACAGACAGAATTACACTTGTTTTTATTGTTTTGAATTGAAGATAATGTTGTAATAAATGATGTAAAAGTTAGTTAGTACTCTGTCTACATGTGAGAAGATGGTGTTCCATAAAACAGAATATAATTAGATACCTAATTTGCTATTTTACAGGAGAAAGTCATATCAGAAAGACTGAGTTTATGTTGAATATTTCATTGCTTGCAACTCAGAACTTACAGCCAAACTATAAAATCAGCACCCACTTTTTACTACATTTATTAAGCCTATCATATACCTAAAAGATAAAGCTGTTCCTCCAAAAAAAACAAAACAAAAAAAACAACAACAAAGGGCTAAATATTTTATTGTCTGTATTTTTAATCAGAAAGGAAACATTATTAAGGAATTTACCACCAAGATCACAAATCATAGTGAAAGGGGAAAGATCAAATGCGGCTATAACATCTCTGCCACATAGACTCCAAATTGCATTCAATCCATACATGAATTTCAGCATCTCTTCTTCTGACCTAGATAGTAAAGATCACAAAAGCATTAGCATTATAGAACAGACCCAAAAGAGCAAATATTATAACATGCATGAACTGAGTGTTTTAATACTGTCCTTATAATTAAAGTCTCGGATGTATTTCGATATTTAGTGGAGAAACATCTCAGATTAACAATCGAATAGATTTGTTGAGTCTTCTGCATGTCCTTTTTCAGGTGGAAGAATTTGTATGAATTGATTCTTCCAACTTTTAACACCAATGCATGAGCTAGATACTCCTCAAATGCAGGATTTTTCTTAAAAAGACATTATAGTTATGGATATTTGCTTTCTAAAAACTATAAAACACACTATAAACTAATTTGATGGTTATGTTGCATATATGGATTTTAATGGATTTTAACAACAGCCTTATTGTCTATAAAAACAACAGCATTTCAGTAAACAAGAAATAAATAATACAAGGGTCTATAAAATTAACAAGAGGATTTTAAAAGAAACATTTTATCATAGGTAATACCTGCAGTTTTCCTTTTAATATTATTGTTTGGAGCTTTACCTGTACAGAGCTTCAAAAACAGCTTTCGATGAAATGCCAAATGCTCTCTCGTACTGGTTCTTGCCTTCCCTTGAGGAGGAAAACAACATCTTTGGATGTCTGGCAGCTTTTCAAGAGTCAGTTAAAATTATGTAGTTCTATTGACCTTCAGAAAAAAACTCACGCTGAATGCTTTGCCAGGAATTTTTGAAACAGGGCTATTATAGATCATATGAATGCTTGAAGATAATGGATTGTATGCAAGTGTATGTGGAGGGTTTTCCATTATTACACATAGCAATTTGCAGGGTCACATCACTTGACAATCAGAGATGTGTGTCAGTATGGAAACTACATTGGGGACCACATGCTTGCAGTGGAATATCTCTGCTTCTTCTGAGCCAAGTCTTTATCTGTTGTTCATATGAACCCTCATATGTTTTTTCTGGAAGCATGTTGCATTTTGGACACAAATAGATTTTCTTTCCCTGCTCCTCCAGGCAGAGATGCAAACATGTATTCATTCTGAAATCTCAAACTAGTTGAATAACTTGATTTAGATATTGCTGGGAAATATTGTTCCCAAGCGAAAATAAGGTGAGGTTCCTATACACAAGACCATAAGTTGTGCTAATTTTTTTGTTTAAGGCAGAAGAAAGCTCTTAGAAAAACAGGTGCCTTTTCCACATGACTGCTGAAAAATAATGTTGGCAACTGCCAAGTTTCTTCTTAATTAAGCCGAAGGGAATTCTCCCATCAGTCACTGAAGCAGGTACTGATGAAGAATATTTCTCTGGGATTCAAGAGTAAGAGCTACCTCTGTCAGTCATCTGTTCAGGAGTTGTGGGGAAAACAGGCACAATCTTAGTTTTTATTCTATTCCAACAACAGTTGCTCAAGTTGTTTTCTACAGTGCATGTGTGGACACAATTCTGTGCATCACTGGATCAAATTCAGATTGCTTAAATATTAATCATATATAGCAACTAACACTGCTGCTATACTTGTATAAGGAACTATTGATAAAAAATATGTCAAGGATGTTTTAAATCCTTCTAATATTGCACATAATACATTTCCCTGTCCCATAGTTAATTAAAACCCAAGTATATAGTCCCAAACAAACACATATGGGAAGATGTGTTTAAATCTAGCAGACCATGTCATATACAGATGAGATTATAAGTGAGCAAAATATTTTAAAGAAAAGCTTAACTTTAAAAAATCCCACAATCATACAAATGTACCTTTGGCCTTCAAATAACTCAAGTTATGAATTGTGTGCATTACATTTACACCCATCTAAGCTCAAATATATAGGAGTGTTAGATAAGCAATTTGTGGCCAGACACTGAACTTTACAGTGATGAAATCTGAAGTCTGCATCTGTGCTGTTTTCTGTAAGCTATTACTCTCTCTGGCTCTAGGGTGACAAAATTTGCAGGTGCAAAAATATATTATCAAGCCTACCGTATTTCAGAAATTGTCCATCTTTTCATACACACACACATATCCTACATACAATGTAGCTCAAAAGTGTTCAAGCCACGGTATTCTGTACCTTTTTAAAGAGAAATGCAAATTTTATATTTTATATAAAACTAAAATAAAGCAAACGTTCTCTTGTTATATTTCATAAAAGTGATTGTGATTTTAGTTTTGATTTTTTAAAAAATCTGTGTAGTTGATAGTGGAAGATTTCTTTCTATGCTTTCCTATTCTCTCTCTCTCTCTCTCCATATTGAAATTGTAATCCTTCAGAATAACCTTTATCTCATTTCTGTTAAAACAAAAAACAAAACAAAGACACTAATGTCAGTAAAGCCATTCATTTCCCATTAACAAAAAAAGCTTTAACATTAACAATTAGCAACATTAACAATTTAACATTAACAACATATGCTTATGTGCCAGACCCTCATAGTCAATTATCCTAATTAAGATATTCTCTGCAAATTCTGTTATTAAGACTAGTGATTTTATCAGGGGGTTCCTTGCACTATCACTAAGCTTGTCTTCCAAACTGTTAAGAATATGCCTGGTTCCCCCACTTTACATGTATAGTATTGAATAGAAAGAAGTAGCCTGTCATAATTCTGTAGCAGTCCTGCCGATGGAGATTCTCAGTCATTCAGGTCATGGTTGTCTCAAGGGTGTTTTTTTTTCAAAAGGCAACTGGAGTTTGTTTTTCCTTGAAGAAGCTTCTTTGATGAGAAGTGAAATGTCTTCAAGGAAAACAAAGTCCAATTGCCATTTGAAAAAAGTAGCTTTGGGATAGCAGTTAACCTGTGTTAACAATGAATACTACAGTGTTTTCTCCTTTAGAAACAGCAGTAACCACATTTATTCCATCTTATTCTTCTGAAGAGAATATTCACACAAATGGGTAGGATCTGTTTTTTTCTTTTAATGGAGTTTTGACTGCATAGGATTTCATATTGTCCATCTCACCTTACAGCCTCTGTCAAGTACTGCCAGCAAGGATAAATTGTTTTGGAGTAATACATACAGGTATGATACTGAGACTTTGGACTTGATTTGGTGAGAAACTGTTCAGAGATTTCTGTGTTGCAATAAAAAGCTAAAAAGAAAATAATGGAAACTTGTATAACACGGGCAAAAATAGCATTTTAACAGCAAGAGCAATGTAATCACACAATTCTGTTTCAGATTTTTTATTGCATTCTCTCAACAGGGTCTGCTTTGGATCAAATAAACAGGTTGATACACTCATTAAGTGGCTATATTTATGATAGCCTTGATTAAGGTTTTCTTGCTTGAGCATTTTGATTGTATAATTATATATGACAATGGGAAATTATGGGAAGTTATGAATTACACATGGATCTCTACAACTGCTGCAAGGTGCAAGATAGAACAGGATTCAAAGTAACTAAAAAGAAGCGAAATAGATTTTCCATATTTCTCAGCAGGAAGACTATATCATCTCACTTTGATCTGTCACAAGTAGTTTTTTTTTTCAAACTGATCAGTAATTTGATATTTAAGAAACCCTGATTTTTGCTTTTATTAAACATTAAGAGAAATAGTCTCAATTTCATCTCTCTTTTTTGTAGATCTACATATTGACTCACTTATATTCCCTAGACATGGAAGAAATTCAGCACTTAGTGACTCCCTACATATAGGTAATCCTCATTTTTCTACATTAATTGGGAAAAGAAATCCCATTGTTAAGCAATGCAGTGATCACTTAGAGTCCCTTGAGAGTTGGGCGGCATAGAAATGTGATAAATTAAATTAAATTAAATTATTAAATTAAATTAAATTAATTAGTGATGGCAGTTCCAGCAGCCCCAGTTGCCATTGCTAAGTGAAGACCTCACAACTGCAACTTCCTGTTGGCTTACCCATTGCCTTTGGATAATGTGACCATAACTTGCTGCAATGTTATAAGCATGAACCAGGCACTGATTGCCTGGATCATGATCATGTGACCACAGGGAAACGATGATGGCTGTTGGTACAAGGTCCAGTTGTAGCTACCTCTTGTTCAGCACCATTGTAAATCTGAATGGTTACTGAACATGAGTGAAGGTGAATTACTTACTAAACAAGTAATTGCTAAACATGGACGATCTGTATTGAAAAGTGCAAATGGCCAAATGCACCATCACAAACAGGTTTCTCAGGAGAAAGCTAGAGAATTTGGAGACTCCTTACCCCAGCACATACTGTGTTCTTAAAGGCTACTTCCTTTCCATAAATGACTTTCTTTTCCTATGAATATCCCATGCATATATCCCCATGAATATCACCTTGGGAATCCAATGGATTACCCTTTCATGTTGTTGTCACAGCAGGATGAATGGCTTTTTATAGGGCATCTAAGATTCCCCACTGCAGACTTTGGAACCTGTTGAATTATTGAATGGTGCTAGTTTCACTTATTATCTAGAACACCTTCAGCCTAGCCCTATTACCTCCTTCTTTGCTCACGTCTACTTCTAGGAGCTTCAAACCCACACAGGCATCCAGCAGTCTCTCCATTCCAGGAAGGCCGCTCCTCAGACATTCTGCGATGGCTTTGGATGACAACTTTTCTTTTGATTCTTGCAACAGATCAAACACACCCAACTCACAGGCAGTAAACATCACCTCAAAGTGTAAAGAGAGGAAATAACAGCATGAATGGGAAGCAGGGACACACTGCTTGCCAGCAATGATTAAATCCCAAAGGCAGGATAATTAAATTCAAAGTAGCAAAATATGTCAGACCTTCAATCAGGTCTTAAACTACTGTATATTTGGTGATGGTGGCAAATGGGATTTCCCTATGGAGCCAAACTTGCTTTGTGACATTGTTATAGGCCATTAAAAAAAGAAACCTTAATATATTAAAACCACCACTGCAAACAAAATATGATTTTTTTCCACACTGGGGAATATTTTCTTCTTTCTTGAAATAGAGCACTGAGATAATCAGCTAGATGTATACCAATATTTTCTTTTATTACACAGTAATTTCAAAATGATTAAAAAAAATTAAAGATGCTGGACTGAAAAACTTTTGAAAAGCATATGTTTAAAATGTCAGATTTTCCCAAGGTTTTGTAAAAGTATCTAAAGTTAGAATTCTGTTACATTATGCACTTCCTTCTTTTTTCCCCTGTCTACTTCCCTATGTAAGACAAGGGTACATGCTGTTGAACTCTAACTAATTCTATTTTCTACATGTAAATAAAAAAGAAATGTTGTGAAAAAATCTGTGGTCCTTTTTACAGATAGCTAAGAACTTGGTATTCTTAATCCAAAAATCAAAACTCTTCATATTAATACTATTTCAAGAATATATTTACTATTTGCTTCATTTTCAGCTCCAGTTATTCATTATTCTATCGATTTATCTATCAATCTATCGATCTATCAATCTATCTATCTATCTATCTATCTATCCATCCATCTATCTATCATCTCCATCATAAATAATGAATTTTCTTAATTCATAGATTTCAATTATGTTGATGCTAGTATTTCTTCAAGTGATATCTATTTCTACATTCTATCAATAATTGTTCAATTACAATCAAACCCATTACATTAGTGAGGGGGAAAAGTCGCATGGTTATTATGTTTTCATTGACTGCATTATCAAATTATCAATTTTATGCCTTTTCTTAAATAACTATTACTGTCAACTATTTTGGAGATTAATACATTAATTTAAGTTCTTAAATTAATCTTAAATACATTATTTATTTTAACTTAACCTTACCTTACCTTAGATACTAGAAATCCATTCTGGTACTGAATTAGGATGTGAGGATAGTTGAGTTCTTTTGCAGAGCTCATTTTTCTTCTGAGACAAACAAGAGAAATCCTTTCATGCTCTTCGTTTAAATACGCCTATTCTACCTGTAGATCATTCTGGGTGGTCCAGCTGAATTATCCTGAACACACACGTGTGTTCTGTACTTCCACAAATGTGCTGATGTAAGCTGCTCTCCTAACAACATAAATTTATTTATCCAATTAAAATAGAGTACTTGGAAATCTCTTAGGACAAGAATTAAAAAAAAATACTGAATCATCTTAAATACATAATGGTGGATTTAAACATAATCATGCTTAGAGAACTTAAACTTAAATTGAAATTTTAAATGAGACTGGTTTATCCTGACATATGTTACTTTTAGTAGGCTTACTCCAATTGTAAGTAAGGCTGTGATTTTTAATTTAATATATAGTTGTCTATATGTCGGTTAGTATTTAGTTGACTCCAACTAATCGTGATTTATTCTATTAAGCCTGGCTAAATCATGCTTTAAAGCTTGAAGACCTTCACATTTGCAAGGTAATTTAGAAAAAAATGTAGGGTTTGTTTGTTTGTTTTATAAACTACAAAGAACTAGGGGCTAGAATCATGCAATTCCATTCTGCTTTTTGTTCCATAGCAATATGTTGTAAATATTTTAGTTTACATTTTTAAAATCTACTAAGATTAACAGGGATAACTTGGTCATTTGATCAATAATTGGACTGACTAGCATATAGTACACAGGCAATATAAAAACAGAGAACTGAGATTCAAAAGAGGAGAGGAGAGGAGAGGAAGAAGGATCAGATGGAAAGGCAATGGAATATTTATTTTATTCTTCAAGTTATCAATAGAAATCAGACTTAACATAAATCAAAATTTTGTTGTAATTTTAAAATATAAACTGCATCGATTAAAATCAGATAGAAAAGGCCATGAAATTTAAATAGCAGCTGCCTCTTGTGGATATAGAGATAATCAGCTAAAAAGATTTACTAGAATCTTACATCAAAATAGAAGAGGATTATATGTTCCTATAACTAAATTGATTGAGCACATTGCAAATTCTGCACAATCACAGTGTTTTATATTAATGATTCATGATTACTAATTGAAAATGAGATGGAACTAGAATTGTTCACATTCACCAATAATGTTTTAATGTTGGGAGTGATGGTTCATTTTACTTAAATTTCTTTCTCTAGAATTGATGTAGAAATTACATAGGCAAACAGAGGTAAACAAACAACTTGCTTTATTGTCCTATAAGTTGTTTCACTTCTTATAGATCTCTGTGATATTATGTCATAGACACAAATAGTATTGTTACATAGTTTATATATAAAGGTAAACATATTGATCATCTATTAAAGACGTATTAAATTTTACAAAATATTTTCCCTTGAAAGAGAATCAATACAACAGGAAGCCCCCCCCTTCTTTTTGTTTATATTTGCCCCGAAAGAGGTGTAAAACTAATAATTTAATTTGGAGACTCTGATCTGAAGTCCACCTGTTTATCTGCATAAATATTCCCAGCAAAATGCCTACCTTACTAATAATGCTTTAAAAAACCAACCAGACAACAAATGAGCTATCCTTCTTAAAGACAGGGAATATAAAGGCCTAATGCCAGTCTTTAGGGATTTAAATAGACTTGTCAGTTTAAAATGAAGCCAGTGTTAGTGTTCATCAGATTGATTACGCTTAATCAGCTAAGGGAAAATAGATCATACAACTTTCTAGATCTTGGTTGAACAAGGTAAAAGTTCCAAACCTGAGATTAGCAAATAGGTAGTCATTCTGCATCCATCTTGAACATTTTCCATTCTACAGATGTTGCATAGTTGCCATTGAACATTTAGCTTAGGGCAGCTCAGAATTCAGTTACTGTATGTGGTGACTAGTCTTGCTTGCAAAGTCCTTGTCTCTTATTATTATCAATTTGCTGACAAATAGCTTTTAAAACATTCCACTTCTGGGAATTATTTTGTCTTTGTTTTAAGTTGCCTCTGGAAAAGAATAGAAGAGAAGATTCTCTTCACAGGCTCAATATCCCATCTAAATATTCTATTTATAGGTTTAGAACTAGCAGAAAAAAGCATACTACTGATCCCATTTGCTAGACAGCTACATTTGGCCAGTCCCAGAAGGCAGATCTTCTCTGCTATGGTGCCTATCTTACAGATCATTCTCCTCCCCCATTCCACCCTCCAAAGTGTGGCTGGCTCTATCCCTGTTGGTTTTCTTGAAGTTTTTCAAGACCTTGTAACGACATTAGTCCTGGGAGGTATGCTCCATTGTTATTAACATCTGTTGTTCTCACTTAGTCTTTGTGACCTTTTAATTTCTGTAATGCAGTGGTCCCTGACTTACGACCACCATTGAGACCAAAATTTCTGTTGTTGAGTGAGACATTTGTTAAGTGAGTTTTGCCCCATTTTACAATCTTTCTTGCCATCGTTAAGTGAATTACTGCAGTTGATAAGTTAGTAACACAGTTGTTACGTGAATCTGGCTTTCCCGTTGATTTGCTCATCAGAAGGACTCTGGGATGCTGCAACTGTCATAAATATGAGTCAGTTGCCAAGCACCTGAATTTTGATCACATAACATATGGATACTGCAATGGTCATAAGTGTGAAAAACGGTCATAAGTCCCTTTTTCAGTGCTATTGTAACTTTGAACAGTCACTAAACAACCTATTGAAAGTCAAGGATTATCTCTAATTATGTTTATATATTAACTGTTTTACAGTCTTGTTGTATGCTGCCCAGAGTCAATTTTTCATTAGATGGGCTGCTGTATAAATTCCATAGATGAATGACTATATACTGTAAATAAATGTTTCAATTCTCATGGTCTCTTCTGGAATGAAGATAAATTGAGTTTAGTTGAGAAAATATTGTTGCACAATCAGCTTTGGACATTTAACATGAAAACTGTTAAGGCAGCGCTTGATGTTTGCTAGGGCCATGCAGTCTTCAATCTCCAAATGGTGCTTAGGAGCATGCAAATATTGCACCAAATATTGTTCTAAGGCAGGGCTGTCAAACTCCCGGCCCATGGGTTGGATGTGTCATACGCTGGCCACGCCCACACCCGGTTTAGTGAAGAGGGGAAAAGTCCTGATACGTCACGTGATGACGCCATGACAATGTGAGTTTGACACCCCTACTCTAAAGCATAAAAGGAACAAATCATAGGCATTGTTCAGCCCTAAAGTTAAATGGAATAAATCATGTCAATTTTAACTTCCTAAATGGTAGTCACAAGCTGATAAACATTGAGATTCAAAAGTAATTTATACAGCGTTGCATACTTTCAATTTGTAACGGTAGTAACTTGCGGTCCATGTCAGACCATCAGGTTCTTTGCCCTCAATCTTCTTTATGTTGCTATGTTTTATTATTTATTTATTAATTCAATTTATATGCCGCCTTTCTCCGGAGACTCAGGGCAGCTTACAATGCATTTTTTAAAAATCCATTATAAAAACATTTAAAAATTAAAACATTAAAACCCATTCACACCGTTCATGGCTGGATCTCACAAGATCGCAACAGCGAGATCAACGGCCCCAGGCCTGCCGGAAAAGCCAGATCTTCACCGCTTTTCAGAAGGCCAATGTTCAAATCTGTATTATTATCAAGGTAGTATTAGAATTATTACTATCCGTTAGCTTTGTAGAATTGTTTTGCACAGTAGATAGCTATGTGAAATAACACTGGCATTCTGATGACTCTTCATTCATTTATCTTGGATTAGGCATTCAAAACTGCACTTGTTATTAATAGCACTTTTTATTTGAAAGCCAGATATGAAAATGAAAGAAAAGTCTTTCTAATACATAATGGTTAATTCACTGGGGGTTAGGTCAGAAATAAATAAGAAAGCTTGAAGAATTTAGGTTAAAAACTTAATCCTTTTAAAATCAAAAAGAGTAGTGATACTGTTGCCAGGAGTTGTTATATTTTGAAATGTGCATGAATATTTGCTTTGAAGCAGCAGCATGAATATAACATTGAATAAAATGTTAGGATACATTTTAACTACTAGCAAACCTCCTGGTTGGCTCTTCCTTAAACCACTTCAAGATCTCAGAATCAGTTTCTGGGAATGTAGCAGGAATGGTCTGACTATTCTACAGAGATTTATTTATTTATTATTAATTCAATTTGTATGCCGCCCCTCTCCGAAGACTCAGGGCAGCATACAAATCTCAGTCATCATGGTAATGGTTGTCCAAAAGGTGCTTTTTCAAGAGGCAACTGGACTTTCTGTTTTTCTTTGAAGATGTTTCGCTTCTCATCCAAGAACCTTCTTCAGCTCTAACTTCCATTCCCCACCATCCAGTCAGAGCTGAAGAAGCTTCTTGGATGAGTGAAATAACAATTTTTTAAAAAAGTTAAATCAATGTGTCCTTAAATTTATTTGGCAAAATAAAAAGCCCAGAATTAAACTTAAAATGCTTCAAGAGGTGAAAGAAAGAGGGGGATTTGGCTTACCAAAATGGGAATATTATTATCAGGCTGCAAATCTAGTTTGGGTAGGGGAATGGATCCTGCTGAGAAAAAGACGGTTGTTGATTCTGGAAGGTTCGGGGCTACAACAGGGTTGGCACTATTTTCTTTGGCAAGATAAGGTTAAAAAACATAGGAGTTTTGCAGGACATTATGTAAGGAATATCCTAATTGATACATGGAGGAAAATTAAGGGTAAACTCTACTCCTCGACCCCTTCTTGGTTGGTCCCGTTAGAAGCTACAACATGTAGTTCGCTTTACAATAAAGAAAAACACCTATCCTACTGGGAATTGTTGGACGTCCAAGGCTGCTTAAAAACAAGAACTGAGTTAGAGCTTCAAGGAATAAAATTGGATTGGTGGTCTTATGCCCAGATCAGCTCTAAATATAAGAAAGACAAGGAACAAAGTGGTATAGATATGATCCAGCAAGAAATAGATAGTATTATATTAGGAAAGGAGGCAAGAATATTATCTAAGATCTATAAATTCTTAATAACCTATTGGATAGGGGATGAGATTGTTAAAGATTCAATGATTGCCTGGGGGAGA